GTGTCTGCTGAATTAACCCCCAACACGGGCACCATTGCTGTGCCACCTGCTGCACCAGAAGGCAGAGGATGTGTGGTGGGGGGCGGGGGGACTCCCAGGGAAGGAACATGTCAGCCCAGTCCCAAGCGATGGAACACACGGGAGAGCTGCTGGTCTGGGCAGAGAAGCGGGATGGAGGCATCGAGGTGAGAGGACGTGGGGCCAAAAAACACACACTCCACAGCTCAGAACGTGCAGCCATCCATTTACACATCCGCCCACCCACCCGTCTCATTCATTTATTGATCCATTCATGAATCCGTCCATCCATCCATCCATCTATCCCTTTCCAAGCACCGTGCCACGTGCTAAGGAAACAAGACTACGACGCAGTCCTGGACTGCAAGGGGTCCACGATATGCCACAGTCAGGAACACGGCAAAATCACCTGGGGAGCTTGTTAAATATTCACATTCCCAGCCCTGTCCTTGAAAGTTCCAATTCTGCAGCTCTAGGGGTGGGTGGGCAGGAGGGCTGCGTGTTTGCTAAGCTCCTGGCCTGGCCCAGAGGCGGGACTTGGGGTAGCACGGGCTCAGGCTGCGCGCAGGAGCTCGGTCCTGGCTCCTGCATGGGGAACTACCAGGGCTGGAGGGAAGGATGGGCCAGGCACAGGGAGGGACAAAGAAGAGCCCTTGACGTCACAAGAAAGGAGGGTCACCGGGGAAATGGGAGTAGGCCCTCACCTGCTCTTGCACACCCCTTATGTTAGGACGAGGAGGCGGGGGGCGTGCTTTCCCAGGTACCTGGCATCAACTGTCCACTGGGACACTAACCCCTGCCCTGTGGGGCTGAGCAGAAAAGAGGCAAACAAAGCGAGACTTGTGTTGGAGCAGGGAACTGAGGTGTTACCGGCAGGATCCCAGGGCCACCTGGGCCTGTCACAGCCGCCCTACCCGCCTGCTGCCCAGGGCCCAACTTCCCTCTCAAGGAGCGAGTGCAGTTTTCTGGAAACCCTGCTATATCTCCTAACCCTGCGGGTCAGGAAGCTGGGTCTCCTGCATCCTGCGGTGGTTCCTCTGAAGTCAAGGGGACAGATGCCTGCAAGAGGACCGTGGCTCCACAGAGGATCACCTCGACCCGCCTGTCACCAAGGACTGCCAGGCAGGCAGCAAGGATGGCAGGGCCACCACGGAGACAAGGTGCTGACAGCTTGGCAGGAAGGAAGTGCAGGCTCCCAGCCCACAGTACAAAGGGGCCTCGTGCCAACTGCGTGCAAATGGCCTACGCAGCCTACGCAGATCTCTGCTGAGAACAGCAGTCCTCCGCAATCACCCTCTGCGGTATGAGTTCTGGAGCTAAGCTCCATCGTCTCTGTTCTCTCCGGAGACAGGCCTGGTGCCCCGTAAGCCCCGCACGCCTACAGTGAGAGGTGGGCTCCGGTCTGGGTCTGGAGTCTGGGGAGGGGGTTGTCGGGCCCGAGTGTTCAGGTGTGGGGTGCAGAGGAAGCAGCCAGGCCCAAAGACAGGCCAGGGAGGCCCAGACCCCAGCCACGGCCAGGAGGAGTCACATAACCGTGCTTCTTTCCTTATTTTGTATCGTTCTATGGGAGCTCAGGGAGCTAGGGACGCTCTGGGCCCCCAAAGCTACTGGGAACAAGGTGTGAGGTGCATATTCGTGTGCACGGTGCATGTTCGTGTGCACTGTCTCCCACAGGGGTCTCGCCCAGCCCAGGCCCCTGAGTCCTGGGTCTCCATCTCTGCCTGGCCCCACCCTCCCTGTGGCCCGAGGACACACCTGGCACCAGCAGCTCAGTCACGCCAGTCTCCTCCCTTATCTGCTCCTGTCACCATCTCTCGTTTATGGAGAAGGACGCAAAGCCCCAGGGGGAGTGACCGGCCCTGGTCACCAGGGGGTTTTAGAGGGTCCTGCCGGAAGGCTTGGTTCTGATCGGGAGCCCTGAATGGGCCTGGGGTGTACGTGGCAGGGGGATCCTCGTGGAATGAAGGCCCAGGGCTGCGGGCCAGGGGCTCAGCCGATTTCGGAGCCTGGGCTGGGCGGGCAGAACTGCGTGATGTTTTGATGTCACATGGTGGAGAGGGCCACATGGTGGAGGTCAGAGCAGGTTGCAGCCTGTGCTGAGTCTTCACACGAGCCCCACCTCCCTGGCCTCCAGAGCAGAGACGCTGACTCAGGGGGCTGCCTGACCGGGAAGAGCTGCGGTTATTTTCAGCAGAGCTACCCGGTGCTAATTAGGCAACGGCTAATTAGCAGTGCTGGGGACCTTCCCCTTCCCCAGGCCTCTCTGAACAATGTCTGCTCCCACCCCAGTGGTGGCCGAGCTCGAGTGCTGCCTGCAAGGAGGGTGCTGACAGGCACGGGTTAGGGGACACAGGCCACTGTGGGGAGCAGTGCAGGCAGGTCCCTGAGCCTGGGCTCCTCCAGCCCCCACGCCCTGCCCTGGCCCTGCCAGCTCCACTCACAGGCTGGGAGGAGCTCACAGAAGCTGCGTGGCCAGCGGCACCACCAGCTCAGCCTGATGTGGGCCTCCCCGCTGTACCCCCCAGACACCCTCCTGCAACCCACGGGGACCCTGGGAATCGAGGGAAAAGCGCAGCAGAACAAACGCGGCAGCAGGTACCGGAGAGGTGGATTCCCACGCAGCCCGCTGAGCTGACGGAGCTGTAAAAGCAGGCTCCGGTCCAGGGAAGGCCGTGCGCTCGGCAACGGCGTTTTAAACACCTTGAGTGAATGAGGCGCCTCGCTGGCCACCAGCCAACCACATCTACAACGGCAGCGACCTGGACATCACTGGTGAGTCGTTCACTGTCAGCGTCACTGAACATGATTAACGTGCAGGGGAAAAGAGTCTGCTCTGTGATTTTATTATTCAAATTCAAAACGGTAGGTCGTGTGAATTTTTATATTTATAATTTCAAAACCAACAAAAACACCATGTTAAACCACATGGGGGCAATTGAGGAACTTTCACGTACGGCTACGATGCACAAAGACCGTGATGGACGACACCACTGAAAGCAGCTCTAAACCTGAACGTGATGCAAAGAGCAGCCACCTGAAGGGCTGGAAACTGAACAGAAGCAGCCGGACTCTGGTGGGGATGCAGGTGTGCCCGGAGGAGAGGGGAGGGAGCTACACGAGCAAGTCCCTTCTCCACGGCGTTTAACCCGGGCTAAACAGTCCACGCGGCAGGGCCAGCGCTGGAGGGGCACACGGGGAAAACCCTGTAGTGTGAACAGCCTGGAGAGGCAGGAAGGCGGAGCCAGGAAGCCAAGTGCTCCAAAGAGCATGGGAAGTCCCTGCAGGGACACAGGCGGAGAGGGGGCTGCAAACTCAGACCCACCCGCCACCCCAGCTCCCCGACAGACCCCTGAACGACGTATGCGCAGAACAGGCTCCACGCGGCTCAGCTAACCCTGCGAGGTCTGAACCGTTGTAGAGCTGTCACCCAAGCAAACTGCCCCGAGGAAGGGAAGACACTCCTGGGGAAGAACGTGAGACCCTGGAATCTCTGCAAGGTAACGTGCTGATGTGCAGAACACGACAGAAAATCACCAGACACGCGAGGACCTGAGAGAAGGAAACGTGTTCTCAAGAGAATCAAGTGAGCCCAAATCCAAGACAGACCTGACGTTGGAACCGACACACAGGGATTTCAGAGTGAGGCTCACGCCACTCCACGATGTCGTCGAACACGTGTTTTCAGTGAGCAAAAGATCTCAACAGGAATAGGAAGTCTTGGCAAATAAAAAGAAACAATAACACCACACATGCGGAAACTCCAGTAAACATAAAATTTCTGAGTTATAAAACGCACAAGGATGGATGGATTTAATAGCTAAAGGGACATTTCAAAGGAAGGAGGAAGTGAACTAAAACATAGATCGATGAAAGTGATCTAACATGAAGAAAAATTGATTGAGAGAAAAATAAGTAGAGCTCCAGGGACTTGTGTGACGCTATCAAGTGATCACGTATGTGCAGCTGGGATGTCAGAAGTCGAGAGAGCGAACGGGGCTCCCTCTTCCCTAGACCACTGCGGTAGCCCAGGTAAAGCCGGCCTGATTAGTGCCGGGAACAGAGAGGGGAACTGAGTCAATTACCTGCCGCGGGCTGAACAGCAACTTGGTGGGGAAGTCAGGATTTGAACCTGCCCTACCGACCGCAAAGAGCACACTTTCCATCCTGTGCCAAGCATCTCCCGGAAGCCTGTCCTCCAACGGCAGGGCCCAACCGAGCACACTGGGCACACTATGCTTTTCCTGCTCTGCCCAGAAAGTTCCAACTGCCCCGGGGAGGCCCCTGCAGCCCACAGCTGCTCTTCTCTGGTTCCCTCCCGTGAAGCTTCAGCTGAGGCCTCAGAGCCCACCCCCAACAACTTCCCTCTGACCTGTACATGCCACCCCGGCGTCCACCTTCCTGAGTTGCCTCACATACCTCATCTCCCTGGGCGGAAACCATCGCTGGCTGCCCAGTACCTTGGGAACACAGTCTACCTCCCTGGCCTGGCATTTACGGTCGCCTCAGGAGGCTTTTCAGTCACGGTTCCCAGGATCCTGCTCTAGGAATCTTCCTCCCAACCTGGTAGACATCCTTCCTTTGAATGCTGCAGGCCTCAAGACCTTGGCTCACACTGGCCTGTCCAGCTGGGTACCCCAAACTGACCTACACTAGGGCCTGCCCCGACACCTCATGGCTCTAGGGGGTTTTCTGGCTGGAGAGGCGCTCTGCCCATTGGCGCCCGTGTGGCGCTTTTCTGTGCTTTTCCCAGAGGACTCTCATTCCAGACGTGCGTGTGCTGTCCTTCCTCCCCGACAGACCCAGCGTTGGGGACAGGTCACTCTGTTCCCCATTCCTGCCCTCCCAGGGCTCTGTATTTTCCACGGGGGTCCTGCAGAGGAGATGCCTTGGACGCTTCCCCCAGCAGGCCAGCCAAGGGGGTCGGAAAAGCCTTAGGGGCCCTGGCCTGCCCCAGAAGCAGAGGATGACCAGCAGGCACTGACCTTTGACCCTGTCGCCGCGGTGAAGGGGGATCTCGCCATCGACCTGGGGCTGGTATGGCTTGACGACGACGAAGAGCCTTCCGGGCACGGCGCTGTAGAGCTTCCTCTTGGGCCCCGGGTACTCGAAGGCCGAGAGCAGGTCCTTGTTGGCACCAGGAGCGAAGGGCGACCTGGATCGGGCACAGGGGCAGAGAGAGAGCAGGTCACGGGCCACACTCTGCGAACTGCAGCCAGTGGGCTCAACAAACGCCGTGCCGCCAGCAACCACGCGGGAACTCGAGACGCCAGACGGGATGGAGACGTGAACAGGCCGGGGGGCCGAGTCCGTAAAGACCCGAGTAGATCCCGCAATCCCACTTCCAGGTGTGTCCGTAGAAGAACCGAAAGCAAAGTCTCAAATAGACACCTGTGCTCCCATGTTCACTGAAGCGTGTCCCCGGCAGCCAAAGGCAGAAGCCACCCAAGCACCCACAGACGGATGAATGAACAAACAAAACGCGGTCTCCCCGTACGACGGGATGCCGCTCAGCCTTCAAAAGGAAGGAGATGCCCACACGTGCTATGACGTGGACAGACACAGACGGTAGCCACATTCATGGAGACAGAAAGCAGAATGGTGGGCGCCAGGGGACAGGGGAGGGGACGAGGAGTGAGTGTCTAATGGTGACACAATTTCGGTTTGGGAAGTGAGAAAGTTCTGGAGACGATTGATGGTGCTGTCTGCACGGCAACGTGAATGTGCTCAACACCACTGAACTGCACACTTAAAAATCAAGGCAGTAAGTTTTATGTTATGTGCATTTAACTGTAACTGAGGAAGAAAGACACAGGCGGAGGAGCAGTCAAGGCAAACCCTGGCCGCCTCCCTCCTGTCCCTAGAAGACGTCTCATCCGCCTCACCGTGAGCACGCATCCTGCTGGGCGAGGAGACGCCAGAACCTTCTGGCAAAGCTGGTCAGGATCGTGGTGCACCCAGCCCACTCCTAGCGGCCACTGGTGACCCTCGCAAGAGGAACTTACATCCACTCTTGCTTTCTGTCACTGATTTTGCAAAGGGCCTAAATCTTCAGGCCGACTTCCGCACCTGACTGCAAGACACGCCTTAACCGAGCCCATGACATGACACACTAGACAAAGGCTCTCATGGGTAAACCCGCGAAGGGGCTTTCCTGACAAGACCACTGCGTCATTGGACGGGTGACAAGGGCCGACTTCCTGGGACAGGGAGAGAGGGTGCATCCACCGCCGCCCCAGGGGGCCAGTGAGACCCAGGAGCCATCACCTTGCTGCTCTTCCCGGGAAACACGCCCTCATGGAGGGAGCTGCCAGGGATTGTGGGACAATGTTCTAGAGCGGTCAGCTCGGAAAGACAGAAAAAGCGAAGACCCATGGCTGGTGATGGCATCCAGCCTCGGGGACGTGAGTGGAAGATTAATGGCACGTGAGGGAAGGTTCCAGAATTGGAAGCACATCTGAGTCCAGGGAGAGGATGGATGCAGGCCACAAATTTGTGACCATGTGGGGGGGTCCCCAACTACGTCTCCTCTCAAACCACAGGTGCTGTGGCCTCTGGGACCAGGGAGGCAGCCTTGATCTTTCCACGAGGACAGGAAGGGGACGTGGGGACCGACGCACAACGAAATAGCCTTGCAGGGAAAATTCCAGAGGCTGATGTGACCAGGCACTTTCAGTATTTAACGTGAACCCCACGTGCCCTTTGTACCACACATGCGTATCCCTGATAAACGCCCTGCGGTTGGTCTGTGCTCGGCAAATCCACAGAAGCGCACGGTGCCGTGCTCAGCATCGTGACGCTGAGGTCTGGCCACGGGACCCGCGTGGACGTGTTTGAGGAGCCCAGTCTGCGGGTGTGAACTCGGGCTGTGGCAGGCTCAGTTCCAGCTGACTTTCTGCTGCTAGCAGGGGCAGCCGGGGACTGAACGTGAGGTCTGTCCGCCTGATCCCCAAGTCCAGAACTATCTTTGGCCTACGTGGAGCACAGAGAGGGTAGGACACTGGGCTGCATCACCTGACCTCTTCTGGGACAGGTGGGAGGCTTGGACACGTACCTGGGCTCCCAGAACACTGGGCGGGGGGAGGCTGCGGGCAGTTGTGACTTACCTGTCCCCAGGGACACCATTCCTCCTCCCAGCATTTTCTCCAATCTAGTCAAAGCCACAGACGTGGAGGTCCCAGACTCCTGGGGCACAGGTGCTCTGTGTGAGCTGTCACCACCAAGTAGACTGAGCACAAGGTGGAACCCGTAGGCAGGGCGTGGCCTCACTGTGCCCCTCCTTGCCTGACCTGCTACATGCAAGGCCAGGAAAATCCACCTTGGGATTGTCCTGAGGAGCTGCTGTTCCCCTTTGATGAATGTCACTTATCCCTAAACACCCCGAGAGCTCCTGGAGTGGCAACTCCTGCAAGAGGCAAGTCGTGTGACCACTTCCTGTCCCCAGGTATAGCTCAGCAAAACAGGTGCCTGCAGAGAGGAAGGTGCAGGTGCCTGCACCGCGAGAGGGTATGGGAAATGCAAGGACAGCCCTGCCCGGTCCCTACCGGAGAGGCCTGCCCGGCCCGCCAAGGCGTCTGCACGCACTGCATCTGGGCTCATTTATTCGATCACCCCAACGTAGGCTGACGTGGGGCTGGTCTGGCCCAGGACCGAGAGCAGAGAAACGAGCGCAGGGAGAGAAGACGGCCTCCTCCAGCCCTGAGCGTCCCAGGGCCGTCTGCTGTCTGGCTCCCAGGCCGGGGCGGAGGCGACTCCTAGCAACCAAGGGGACGCAGTTCCCCTGCAATAGCGCACGTGTCCCCAGGGGGCACCTGATTATTCCACCAGGATCCAAGGGGGTCAGTGGAGGTGGTGGCGCTAGGAGAACACACCAGCCCGAGGTGAAAGTTCCTCCTCTCCCCAGACCCCCACAAACAGAGCACCTGGACCAGCCCTGCCCACATCTGCCTCAGGCGAGGGAGGCGGCGAGGCCGGCAGCTGTATCACGGCTCTGTGGACAGTCTGAACCACCTCTCGCTCCCGGGGGATCTGTGTGACCCTGAGTGAGTCACTTTATTTCTCTGAACCTTAATTTCTTCATCTGTAAATGGGTGGTGGAGGGCAGGGGCTGCTGGGGACTAACGAGAGTGTGCAGAGGGCTCAGCTCTGAAGGCAGTGGCTGTCTCTGTCTGGCCACCGCCAGGCTGAAACACAGGATCGAGCCGACACTGTCAGAACATCCCTCTGCTGGCTCCGGGTGTGATAACCGGTGCTCGGAAGTGCTGGACACATCAAGACACTGCAGGGTGGTCTAAGCAACATGGTCACAGGTGGGCCCTGATGCCCCTCGGCTGCATGGAGCCCCCAGACAGCAAGCAGACCGCCAGGCCAGCTAAGCCCCATGAGTGCTGAAGCACCAGGAGAGTGGTCGATCCAAGGGGGGGGGGGGCGCACAGTCCAGAGGAAAGAGCAGCAGGGACCGTGCTGATGGTGGCCAGGCAGGGCAGAGGTTGGGCCAAAGAGCAGGGGTCGCAGGGGCCGCTCTCAACTGCTGTTCGGCTGATGTAGCAGCTGCTCAAGCCAAGAGCTTGGGAACAAATGGGGAGCCCGTCTTCTCAGAGAACCCCCACTCCAACACAGCTTCAGCAATAAACCCCAGGCTCCACTGCCCATCTTCAACAACAGCCTGATGGGAAGCTGAGCCTACCCAAGCTGAGAAGTTGATCCTTATCATCAGAATCAGAAACCTACCCACTCGCCTACCCACCCATCCACTCATCTACCCATCCATCTACCCACCCATCCACTCACCTACCCATCCATTTATGCACCCATCCACTCGCCTACTGACCCATTCATCCACGCAACCACTCACCTACCCACCCATCCACTCACCTACCTATCCATGCACCCATCTGCTCATCTACCCATCCATCCACCCACCCATCCACTCACCTACCCATCCATTTATCCACCCATCCACTCACCTACTGACCCATTCATCCACCCAACCACTCACCTACCTACCCATCCACTCACCTACCTATCCATGCACCCATCTGCTCATCTACCCATCCATCTACCCACCCATCCACTCACCTACCCATCCATTCCTACTGACCCATTCATCCACCCAACCACTCACCTACCTACCCATCCACTTACCTACCTACCCATCCACTCACCTACCTATCCATGCACCCATCTACTCATCTACCCACTCATCCACTTGCCTACTCATCCATGCATCCACCTATCCACTCACCTACCCATTCATCCACTCGTCTACCCAACCATTCATCCATCCCCTCACCTACCCACCCACCCACTCTCCTACCCATTCATCCATCCATCCATTCATCTAGCCACACCCATCCATACTCACCTATCCACCTATCCACTCACCTATCCTTCCATCTATCCGCCCATCCACCCACAATCAACCCACTCATCCATCCACCACATGCCAGCCCATCCTCCCACGCACCCACCTTACCATTTCTCTGAACACTATCTATCACTCATCCACCCAAAGTTCAGAAGGACACTGCCTGAAGCCCAGGTGACCACTTACTATCAGTCACTGGACAGGTCAGCTACCCTCCTGAAGCCTCACTTCCCCACTGGATGCAGAGTGATCATGACAGCCCACTCTGTGTGGGTGTTATGTGAATATGGGCACTGCCCCACTGCCCTGCTGCAGCTGGCAAGTGGGTGACAAAATGCCCACCTCGCCCAGCTGGTTTAACTGGCGCCGGAGTGTGTGTCATGGGACAGGGACGTCGAAGGGCTCCAGTCTGGATACCACCCCAACCCGGAGCTCCGTGCCATCATCCTCTTTGCGGTCAGCTCCCTGACCCAGCAACTGAGGGCCCGGGAAGCCCTTGTCTAAGAACAGGAAGGATGTCTGCTTTGACGGGAGCACGGCTATGGTTCTAGGCACCAGCAGTGATGTATGGTCCCACAAACGCTCACACACCTTCTTACTCACTGTTCACTTGAACCCCACAAAGTCGCACAAGGCAGCAGTAGGAACCGTCACCCCCCCCATTACAGATGAGAGCACAGAGGCTCCACTACAGTGCCCGGGAATGACAGTGCAGAGCTGACACGCACATCCCAGCTCCTGACTCCCAGCCCAGGGCTTCCTGCTCCATCTGGGGATAGAACAAGGTG